CCAGAAGACAGAGCTAACGTGTCTGCGGGCCAGGCCCGTGCTCGGATCTGGAACATGATGATGAGTTAGACAACTCCTGGTCTCAAGCTAACGTCTATGGTTAGGCTAGGCAATCACAGGCAATCACTAACAAACATGCTGGGGGTGGGGGTGGGGGCCATCCTGCTTTGATAATAATGAGAAGAGAAAACAAACCAAAAAAATCCAGGGAGTTATAATTCATAGGAAATTCAAAATGCAAATCTAGTGTGTTGTGGCCGTTGAAAAAGTTCTTGCAATTTTAGGCTTCGCTAGAAGAAATATATATCTATATATTATATAATATATATATATATAATATTCTCTATGGATCAAAGGAGTTGACAGTCCCATTGTAATTGGACATGCCCAGACTACTGTGTATCCTCAGGACACTATACTGGAAGAGAAGATGGACTAATTAGAGTGTCCACAGTGGTTGATGGTGGCTGAAACCCTGCCACACACGAGGACTCGCGACATTTAGTCTGGGAAAGCAAAGACTTTGATGGGAGACATAATAGCTGTTTTTAGAGATCTGTCATATAACAAAGGGCCTGGGGCATGGCCCTGGGCTGGTCAGGGACTGGCCTGAGTGAACAGGGAGATCCTGCTAAAGATCCTTCATTGGGCACAAGGAGGAACGTTCTAGATCCAGCTACGGGGCAAAGGAATCAGAATTCTCTTTCTTCAGGACTCATGTGTGCATGTGTGGGTGTGTGCATGTGTATCTGTGTGTGTGTGTGTGTGTGTGCGTGTGTATGTGTGTGTGTGACTGTCCTGGGGCTTGAGCACAGTCCCTTCTGCTCTTGTTTTTTTTGTCCAAGGCTGGTGCTCTCTCATTTGAGCCATATCTCAACTTTCAGGGTTTTTTGCTGGTTAATTGAAGATGAGAGTCTCACAAACTTTCCTTCTCTGGGTTGGCCACGAACCTGGATCCTCAGATCTCAGCCTCAGTTAGGATGACAAGCGGGAGCCACTGGTGCCCGGTAGCACTGCTCTTCTGTATCTCCTTTTGTGCTGCTCCCTCTCAGGGCTGGTGCTGATTTGCGGGTTCCTTTTCTGTCCTCACACCTCTCTCATCCTGCTTGGGGTTCTGCAGAGTGAAGTCCCACAGCAGTGGCGTGGGAGAACGGACCGTCTTGGCCGCTGTCACTGTGCGCAGCCCTGCGGAGAGCAGACACTGAATCTTGGTGCACCGGACGAAGGGACAAAAAAACATGGGTAAGGTGCTTGAGGTCACCTAGATGTGAAGCTGGCAGTCAGGATTTCACCCAGAATTTCTGCTTTTAAATACCCTCTCTTCCTCATCTCTCTGGCACGCTTGCTTCTCCTCCACTAAAATAAGCATTCATAGACAAAACAAAGCACCAGATAGGGCAGATATAAGCGAATGCAGTAGGGTTTGGGGGTCCCTCCCCCCACCCCGGGAATTTGGGGCAGAAGTGAGCGTGTGGCTTGTTGAATATGTTAAGGACAACTGTGCTCAACGGTTCCCCCAGGAGCTTGTACCTCCTGTCACCTGAACTGTGCAGTGTCTTCGTAAAAAGACATGGCAGGGTCCATGGGTGATGGGACAAACTCTCCTTCACCCACTAGAGCACCCGCAGCCGCTTCTCCTTGTGACGCCCTCCCGTCACTCCAGTGGCATCTGGCCATTCCAGTTTAATCACACCCTTACTGCTTTCCATAGCACAAAGCCTTTCACAATGAAGGAAACAACTGAAAAGCATTTTCCTCTTAATAGGTCCTGTGATTCACCAAACCACAGCCCAATAAAGCCACAATTAAAATCAATGTGGAATAAATCTCTCAATGAATAGAGCTTTGCTTTCTCTTACCACAAGCCGGCCCAGCCCTTGGATGTATGTTGGGCCCTCTTGTCCGCAGACCTCTGCGCTCTTGTCGGCTTGGCCAGCCTCGATTGCATGTCCACCACTACCCAGTGGGAGGTCTTGGCTAAGTCTTGGCTAACGGGAGGAGAGGGAACATGCGCAGGAATGTCAGGAAAGAGAAGCCCCGCCCTCCCAGAGGAAGTCCTGGCCGTGCCTGTCAGGGGCTCTGGAGGGAACTAGCAAGTTTGACTTGACTCAGAGGGACTTTTACCTACATTTTTGTCTTCTGGCTCTTGTTCTGTGTAGCTTGTTCTGTCGTAAACTTTAACATAATCACAACAACGAAACTTCAGTCTCTGAAACAACACACTTTCCAAAAGAATTTATATTTACCACCTGAAGCTGCATAGCTGTGGTCCTAGGTAAACTACAGACACAGAGGTAGAAAGCACCCAGCACGCCCGTGACACAAACACAGGACTGCTGTGCACAGATGGCATTTGCTTTGATTTTTATTGCTCTGAGCAACTCCATTCCCAGAACCCAGTGGCCGTCTGGCCCCATAAATGTGAGGTGGTTTAAGTGTGTTACCATCTTTCCCCCAGCTATCTCCTATTAGGCCAATCATACACCCCGTTTGTATTGTGTGTATGATCTTTTGCCCCAGATAGTGACATTACTATGTAATAGACTAAAGGGGAGATTATAATTTCAGTAATAATAATCCTGCACCTGGAAAGGAGTGAACTACAGAGAGGAAGAATAGCAGTAGTGTTTATAAATGACATTTTTCAGATATGACAAACAGTAAGTGGAATGTCTGGTGTCGTTTGTGGATCAGAGCCTCCACTCAGGACCATGAGGGGTCTCATGCGGCATTCCAAATGCTCCCAGCATCCTACACTATCTGTCTGTCTGTCAATCTACCTACCTACCTACTTACTTACCTATCTACCTACCTACCTACGGCCAGCACTTGGGCTTGAACCCAGGGCTTGGGCTCTGACCCTTGGCTTTTTCAGTCAAGGCTGGTATTCTACCACTGGAGCCACAGCTCCACTTGCATTGGAAGTAAAAGTCTCACAGACATGTCTCCCTGTGATCCTCAGACCTTAGCTTCCTGAGCAGCTGGGATTACAGGGTGAGCCACCAGTGCCCGGCCCAATGACACATCTCTTGAGGATCCAGGCAGTACCCCGAGAGAGCCCTTCAGTGTCACCTGGCCAGCACCTTTGCCCAAAGGCACTGGTTCTTGAGTGGCTGACCCCCTGAGCACCAGAGCCACAGGGCTCACTTGAGGAAAGGTGGGAGTGGGCGTGAGCCCCTCGGCAGGCCTGTGTGGCAGGGCTGGCTCACGGCGGGAGCGCAGGCTAAGGTGCAGCTGGAGGAATGCGAAGCTGGGAGCCGGCTCGGGATCGCTATTACAATCAGAGGACGCACCGGGCCGGAGTTCCGGAGCCCTTTGAAGGGCTGCCAGCACAGACACATGGTTGCAATTACCGCCTGCAGTCTTGGGGCTGTGCACTTTCATTATGTCAAAGTGAAAGGCCTGGTGGGGGGCAGGGGGTGGGGGACGCCAGGCCCCAGACGCGGTTTAGCCATGCCACCAAGGGCGAGCCAAAGTGCCAAGTGACCCCAACACCGGCTGCTTGGGGGCCGGGATGGCAGGTACCCACGCTCAGAGCCACCTCCCTTCTGGTTGGGGGGCCGAGGACCTAGGGCATGGGAAAAGGGGTGCCTCTCCCGCTGGCCCCCAGGCTGTGCTCCCAGCAGGATAGGGGGCACAAGATGCCTCTGAGATGCCCCATGAGTCCCACAGCTCGGGAAGTATGTCCAGGGCTGCTAGAAAGCTTCCCGAACCTCTCCTTCTCCAGGCCTGTGGGCACCCAGGACACAGCAGGGCTCGCAGCCCTGAGAGGAGCCGCACGTGGGAAGGGCCTGGGGCCCTGAGGCCGGCCTTTGAGTCAGGCAGAGCCCACAGACACGAGCGCTAGAGGCCCCCTTGCCCAGGCCTTTATCTGACTAAGCATCTCAGCACAGAATGTTCCAGATGGTGCTTCTTGAACACAAACCTGATTCCAGTTGCTTTGATAGAAAAGCCAGGGCACATTTGATCATGCTTTTACCCTACTTGCACAGTGCTCACGCCAAAGCTCCCTGCTGTTCTACTTTGCCTGCTTTGGATTGGGTTGTGGGTGGAGTGGAACAGAAAGAGGACAGAGGGAAGACATGAGGCCACTCCAGTGGCAGTGTGTGTGTGTGTGTGTGTGTGTGTGTGTGTGTGTGTGTGTGTGTATGCGCGCATGCGCACGTGTGTGTGCATGCGCGCATGTGTGCGTGCGCTCAGGTACTGGGGCTTAAACTCAGGCCTCCCACTCTTACTTGGCTTTTTCCATTCAAGACTGGTGCTCCACCACATGAGCCACAGCTCTACTTTTGCTGGCTAACTGGGGATAAGAGTCTCAGGGACATTATGCCCTGGCTGGCTTTGAACTGTAATCCTATAATCCGGTTACTCTTTGATGCAGATCAGAGGCCCATGGTTTGAGGCTGGTGCAGGTAAAGGCTTGACATCCTTATGAAAAATAAAGTCAAACAAAAAGGGCCCTGAGTTCAAACGCCACTGCTGGTGGACAGTGGGTGTGTGGCAGTTGTGGGGGCGTCATGTTTTCTTGGAGTAACGTAGTCTTTCTACATGAATCCCTGGGCACGGGGGGGGGGGGGGGGGGGGGGGGGGGGGAGGTGGGGGGGGGGAGGGTGGTAAGTGGAGCGGTGGAGCGCCACGGCAATCTCCACACAGAATGAGATCTCCCCTGGCAGCCTGGGAAGTTCCCAAGGCAGACCTAGCCCTTCCAGTCCTCCCGGGGCAGCCTCTTCCACCACACACAGAAGGCCTTGGCCAGCTGGGGCCTCCCTGAGCCCAGCACCGACCAGTCTTCTGGTGATGGCACAGCAGCCTCTGCCTTCTCTCCCTGCGAGAGGCTGTTGGGGCTGGGAGAGCCAGGCTGCCGCACAGGAAAGCTGGTGGCCAGGTGAATGGGCTCTGACAGAGGCCGGTGTCCAAGAGGGCTCGGCGAGGGCTGGGACAAGTCTCCCTGCGGCCTGTCCCCAGGGGAAAGACCATGCACATGCCAGCACACGGGCGGGATGCTTCCAAAATTTAATAAATAATGATTTCTTTTAAAACTGTATAAACTATAAATTACCATGCAGTCCTTATAATTTAAAATAATTTACAGGCTGAGGTAGGGGCCGGGGGGTGGGGGGTAGGGGCGATCAGCCCCGGCGGGCGGCCTTGCGGCTGAGGACGCACACGCAGGCCGTGTCAATGCGGATGAAGCGCCAGGCCGCCTGCTTGGCATCGGTGGTGAGTGCCTTGACGAAGGTGTGCGTGGTGGTGCAGTATGAGTTCCAGTGCTTGGCGTCGATCCCGCGGCAGCCGCCCTCCGCGGGGCTGGGCTCTCGGCATTTGGTCTCAAAAAAGTACTGTTTGAAGACGCTGTTGTTGATGTTCACCTCACTCAGCACCGCCACCTCTTTGCCCTTGATGTCTGTGGCCGTGGTCTTGTCCCCGACCCACACGCTGACACTGTCGCAGACTGAGAACTCCCCCATGTGGAAGACGGGGTGGCTGGGTGAGCGCCTGCTCCTCTGAGTCCTGTTGAAGGCCGAGCCCTCTGGGAGCGGCAGGTCTGGGTCCTGGGGGTCCCCAGACACGGGCGGGGGCTGGGTGCTGAACAGCACCCGAGGCGACCTCAGTCGCCTTTTCTTAAACAACCTGGGGTCCACAGAGATGTTGCGCGTCTCCCCTGACACCCGGGCAGCTATCGGGGCGGCCGGGGCGCCGTGGGCTCTGCGGAGGGCCGTGTCCAAGGAGTGCTGGAGTCTGGTCCAGTGCGCGCGGGGAACGGCGTCTCCTGCTGGCGCATTGCTGGCTGGGGATGGCTCTGCCCGGACGCCGATCAGACACGCAGTGAGCAGAGCGTAGAACAACATGGGCATTACGCTCCGCGCCTAGAACAAAAAGACACCGGCAATGTTGCAGGAGCGGCACTCGGGCCGGGTGCAGAGGCTCGCGCCTGTCATCCTAGCCAATCAGGAAGCTGAGATCTGAGGATCATGGTTCAAAGCTGGCCTAGGCAGAAAAGTCTGTGAGACTCTTATCTCCATGAACCACCAAAAAGTTGGAAGTGGAGGTGTGGCTCAAGTGGTAAGGCACCAGCCAGGAATGAACAAGAACAAGACCAGTGAGAGTGAACTCAAGCCCTAGGACCAGCGTATGCATACACACACACACACACACACAGACACACACACACACACACACACGCATGTCTTTCAACTCTGAACAAGGCCAGAAGAGGCTGGCAGCATGTCCGTCTTCTTTCCTGCTCCTTCCGTGTCCTGCAAGAACGTTTGCCCTGGCTCTGGCGTGAGTGAACTTTGTTTGGATATAATGTTCAAATCCTGCTGGCAGAAGTAAGCCACTTAATCCTGCCGAGTCTTAGTTTCCTCCCCAACAAAGGCTGGAGGATAAACACTGCTGCTGGGGTGGGTGTGTTCCTGAGGTCTGCGTGTGTCTGTCAGCTCAGCACCCCTGGCGAGGTCTCTGCCTTCCTCTGTTCTGGTGGAGGGGGAGGCAAGTGCTCTGCGGCCCTGCCCTCTGCCAGGACGGCTCGGAGCTCGTCTTCCTCCCTTTCACACATGCCTCTTGCGCCCAGGCTCAGCGCGAGTCCCATGGGCTGCACCCTGCACTCCAACAGGTCTGCCTCCTTGCTGATGCGTGTCCACCAGACTCACCCAACTGCCCATCTGGTTGGCACTGACCTGGTTCTCTCTGTTTCTTTCTGGTACTGGGGCTTGAACTCAGGGCCTTGCACGCTCACTTTGTGTTTTCACTCAAGCCTGGTGCTCTACCACGTGAGTCACAGCTCCACTTCTGGCTTTTTACTAGTTAATTGTAGGTAAGAGTCTCATGGACTTTGCTGCCTGGGCTGGCTTTGAACTGTGATCCTCTGATCTCAGCCTCCTGAGACGCTAGGAATAAGGTGTGGGCCACTGGTGCCCAGCTGGTCACTTATTTTGAGGACACGCTTTGGAACCTCTCCTCACAGAGGACAGTGCGGTGTGCATCACCGATGAGAGCTCCGAGAACACCATGGCTGCGGGGAGCAGCGGCCAGAGCTCACACAGCAGCCTTGCTCTGTTCCAGGTATGAGTGACTTCTATTTGTCTTGTTCCCCAAGGATGGAGGCTCACCACCTAGGGCAGAGACGCCCACTGGATGCCTTCAAATGCAGCCTTGTTGGGCAGCCCTGCCTCACCCTACCCCAGGCCAGCAGAATATTCTGTGGCTTTCCAGGGCTCACTCCCCTCGTGGCTCCACCGCAGGAGGTAATGGAGTCATGGGCCTTGTGCGTGGCTCAGAGGGCTGGCATGGCCCGTGGCGGCCGTGGCCTGCTGCCCCACCCCCGGCCGCTCGGGAGACGGGTGTGACACAGGGGACGAGCAAGCTCAGCCCGCCAGCAAAGCAGGGCTTCTACTCCGTTGTACACACCTTGCCGTGCCACATTGGGTGTGTGCTTGTTTTCCTATCTGGCCTCCCAGGTTCCTGGGTGGTACAGACTGGCGGGCACCGGCGTCTAGCTATCGCAACAAGCCAGGGCTGGGCTGCATCATTCCTATTTTGCGGCTGGAGAGACGAGCTAAGCGGGCTCCACCATGCCAGGAGCGGTGACCCCATCACGGAGGTCTGTAGCGGAGGCTCAGCTGTCCGTCAGAGGCCTGTGTGCGGCTCATGTCCAGCTGTCCTGACCACTTGGCCCCAGGAGCCACAGGGCTGGAAACCTTGTTTTTGTTTTTCTGTCATACCAGGAGACACTTCAAGCCTGAGCCATGTCTCCAGCCCTTTTTGCTTTGGTTATCTTTCAGGCAGGGTCTTCTTTTCCTTGCCTTGGCTGGTTTGGACTGTATTCTTCCTATTTTATTGTAGCTGGGACCACAGCTGTGTACCACGGTGCCCAGCCATGGGTTTAGAAGGGGTCTCACTAAAAGTTTTGCTCCCCACTTCTGCGTCCCCCATAGCTGTCCCACCTCGCCCAGCCTAGCAACCCTGGCGAGCCGTCCCCTCCACACTCACCTCAGAGTGTCCAGGACTGAAAGCTGTGCCCTTGGCAATGCTGTTACTGGGACCGGATGCTGATCTGAGCTTGGGTCCAGCATGCCATCCGGCCGCTGGGTCTGCGCCACCACAGGCCGGAACACTGTGGAGAAGGAGGGCGGGCATTAGACTCGGCTCCTCCACCTTGGGGCCCAGGGGGAGGGGCACCCTTGCCCCATGCGGCGGGAGGGGGAGGCCCATGGGATGCGTCCGGGACATGAGCAGCATCCGGCCCAGTGGGAGCTGGAGTGCAGTTACTGGGATGGCTAGGGCCTGGTCTTGCATGGAGCCGTCCGTGCTGCAGAGCAGAGACCTGCTCAGCACACCTCGAATCCAGAGTGAGGAACTGAACCGGGGCGCTTCCCACCTCCGGCATCAGGGAAGAAAATGACCCTGGGGGTCAAAGTGTAGGTGAACCCCGGAGGCAATTGACCAGAGACCAGCGACCAGCCCTTCAGAACCAACCAAACATCTGCAACCCAGGTTGCTCAAAGCCAGACTTTAAGAACTAGAAGCCATGGAGACTACACAGGGAGAAACATTCTATTTGATTTTAACTTTCCCTTTCTGGAAGCTTCCATGCTCTCTTACTTCTGTAAACCTGGCATATGAAAGTTCTTTACTCATTCATCCAACAGAATTTCCTGAGCACCTGCCAGAGAAATTCTTGGTGTCAGTGACCCAGCAGTGAATAAGACAGACAAGGTGTCTGTTCTCAGTGAGCCTTGTAGTTTTGCGTACAGATCTTTAGATTCCAGCTGTGATGGACGGAAGGGAGCAGGGTGTGACAGGCAGTACAGGTGTCCCCGAAGACTCCAGGTTGATACCTGAAGGATGGGGAGGAAGACGGGAGCAGTGCAGGTAGACCTCTGGGAAGAAGCCTGTGCAACAGCTGTCTACAGCCTCCACCTCCCGGCATTCTCTTTGAGTCAATGGTCATTTGGTTAGTTCTGGCTGGTAGCCAGGAAGTTTAGATGGATGGCCATTTAATTATTAAACACCCAACCGAGAAGCCGTTGAAAGGATCTGTCTGTGCTTCTGCTGGCCGTCTGTGACGAGCGCTGGACAGCAGTAATGGACGACTTTGCCAGCCAGCAGCCCCCAACCCAAGCCCTGCAGGCCCCTGCTGTGTGGAGAGCTCGGCCTCTCGGACCCAATTTTTACTGTGTGTGTGGTTCTGTGAATGGAGCTCAGGCCTCAGGCTTGAGAGACCCACAGCCCGGACCACCCGAGCTGCGTCTACAGGCCTCTTGCTTTGTGTTTGCTTTTCAGACAAGGTTTTGTGTGTTCGCTGGCTTTGGCCTGTGATGCTCCTACTTTTGCCTCCTGAGCAGCTGAGATTAAAGGTGTGCCCCACCATGCTTAGCCTCCTGTCTCCCCCGTCCCTAACCCACCCACCCCCGTCGCACGGGGCCCCACTCCCGAGAGGCTGGCTCACAATGTGGAGCCCATGTAATACCCCCTAGATTTCTGTGAAAAACCAGGGCCGAGGGCAGCAGTCCTTGGGATACACAGGAACTAAGAGAAATGTTCAAGAAATTAATACACTTTGGAAAATATAAAATACACAAGCATCAAGATTCATGAGAATAGTTTGCAGTTCTGTCCTCCCCGCAGCCTTTCCCTGTCTAGCTACAATCAACATCTGTGAACTGGAAACTTGGCTTCGTATTCTTTGCATAGCACTTAAATGTACTTTGATATTGGAGCTATGGTTGGCTTACTTTTAACAAGGCTATTTGCTAACATAGTGAGTTCCAAAGATTTGGAGATGCACGACGTCAAAGACGTTCTGGACTGCACACCGCAAGAACAGCAGCACAGCCGTGGCTCAGAGATGCCAGGGCTGCTATGGCTTCCTTTCTCCTCATTTCCACCTGCTGGGGAAACTCAGCCACTAAGAACGCACTGCCAGGAGCTGTGGCTCATGCCTGTAATCCCAGCTACTTGGAAGGCTGAGAACTGAGGATCCTGTTTCAAAGCCAGCCTTGACAAGGTAGATAAATCTAGAGACTCTTATCTCCAATTAACCAGCAAAATGCTAGAAACAGAGGTATGGCTCAAATAGTAGCTGTTAATCTTGAGTAAAAATGTTCAAGACCCAGCACTGCCACCAAAAATACCACCACTACCACCACCAACAAAAAGCCCAACAGGTTGCTGAGGGGGTGGTGAATTCTGGTGCTGTGGCTGTGATGTTCTTGTCTGCAGCTGTCCTCCCTGATTCTGTGCCACTGCTTCTCACTGGGAGTCTACAATACAGAGGGAAAGAGGCCATGAAGTCCTTCATGTTGCAAATCTGTTTTTCTAAGTTTTAGCTTCATCAGAAGCTTTATTAAGTATGATCCCAAGGTTTGGTCATACTCCCTCTTCTTTTTTGGAAAATAAAATTCAGTTTGGGCCACTTGGAGATGATTTGATGCGTTTTAGCTGTTTTGTGGTTTGGCATATCTGATAGGAAAACAGCGCATGCGGCCCCAGCGCTTAGAAGGACACTGGTGTTCAGAGAAGCCCGTTCTGCCTCGAGGGATGCTTCAGCACTGCTTCTAAAGTCTTGTCAAGTTCCTTAAAGCAAGTGGCATGGTAGCTCTCCAGGAGACGGTGGGGTGAATTACAAAACCCTTCTCAGGAACCTGTGCCAGCAGCTACTCCAGAGGCTGAGATTTGAGGTTCATGGTTTAAAACCAGTCCAAGCAGAAAAGTCCATGAGACTCTTAACCACTAAAAAGCTGGAAGTAGAGCTGAGGCTCAAGTGGTAGAATGCTCATCTTGAGGGAAAAAGCTAAGAGACAACACTGAGTCACTGAGCTCAAGCCCCAGGATTGGCACCAAAGAAAAACCCAGAGCAAAACCTTTCTCATCATTTCCCCCAGAGTCAGGCAGTTCTAGGAAGAAGCCACTGTGGTCAGCTGACCTTGAACCTGAGAACGGAAGACCATGCGCTGAGTGTGGTCTTTCTTCTTGGGTGTGGCCTGCCACAGTGTGGCTGGTGTTTACCTGACTGGAGTCATGGAAGAGATCTGTTGTGGCCTATGCCACGGAGACTTTCAAAATATGAGTAACTGCAAGGACCTTAGTGTGGGGGCAGGGAAGACATAGAAGCACAAAGCAGCCCCTGCCACGTGGTTGAGGGCAGAATAGCTTGAGGGAGAATGTACTACTAAATACCAGTCCTTGGAGCCTGTAGCTTAGGAGTCCTAATGATATATCTATAATCTACATCGGATGCCAAAAACAATCTTGAGACCTTAAGAAAATACCTTCTCAGTTCCAACTGACTGATGCACAAGAAAAACCACAAGAAACACACACACAAGCAAAATAAGCTCAGAGCAGACACAGTACAGAGCACAAAGCAGTGTCCCTGGCTGAAGTCAGGGTTTACATCCCATAATGACCACGGCAGGCCTTAGGCCACCACCTGGGGCTAGAAGCATGAACAAGAGAGCCCAGGGCCAGGGCCTGTCAGCTCAGATTCCAGAGCTTCATTCTATTTGCTTTACAGGATTAAATCTCCTCCGCTGCTCTGGAGCTTGCCTTCCCCACTCAGTGTGTGGCATGTTCTCCAAGCACTCGGTCAAGAAACGTTACAACACTTAAGTCTATAATGTAATTCAGATGGAAGTTCAGAAACTCAGACAAGCTAAAGATCTGTAGCCCTGGGGGGGAAAAAACCCAGAAAACACACACACACACACACACACACACACACACACATGCACACGCACGCACGCACGCACATGCACACAATCTAGCTGAAGAGATGCACAATCTAGGGCTTTACAAATCTAGGGCTTTACAAAGCTGGGAGTCCTTTCAATTAGGGCAGAAAAAGAGTGAACCTGGGGACATGAGTGTAAATAAAATGTCAGCCTTACTCTGCACAGTGTCCATAACACTAGGCCGTTCCTGTTTGAGCTGCTGGACTCAGGATCACTGCAGAAGCCACTGCTCACAGGCTGCACCCAGAACACATGGTCACAAGCACAACTGCAATTGGTACCACACGTGCAACTAGTACCACACATGTCCAGCCAGTACCCCGCACATGTGCAGCTAGCACCACAGTCCAACCACCACACACATGACCAGTACTCCCCACAAGGGCAACCAGCACCATACACATCTGCCCAGCACCACACAGTCCAGCTGGCACCACGCATGTGCAACCAACCGGTACCCCACATGTGCAACCAGCACTACACATATGCACCTGGCACCACACATGTCCAGCCAGCATCCCACCCATGCAACCTATACCATACAACTGGTGCCCAATACCTTACAGCAGATGCACTGATACCTCCCCACTCAGTGTGCTTCTGGAGTGACAGATGCCACGGAATCTGGAGCTCCCTGGCTCTTCTGTGCTGACTATTCCTGGCTTGTCTGCTAACCTCACACCCACAAATCTGACTCAAGGCATGACTATGAGAGAACCGGGCCTGCTCTGCCCGGGCATGCAGCTCACAGGCAGATCCCAGCTAAACCCGAGGCCAGGGGCAGGAGATTCACCCCCACGTGGATCTGTGAGGGGCTTTGTGTTGTCTGGGGCTTCCTGTGTGTGCTCGTGCCACGCCAGGCTCAAGCGGGGACTGGTGAGCGGGACGGCCTGCCACGGTGCAGAGAGCTCTGGAGGCTCTGACAAACACTGTTAGGTTCATGTTAAGGCGTTTCATCCACCTCTCGCATTTATCTCAGGAGGAAAGGGCAGGGGAGATGGAAACCTGTGGTCCCTGGATTCTCCTACTGCTCTATTCCAGAATGGTCCTGATCACCTGGACTTTCTTTTTAGGGTTTATGTGGTCATGAGGTGAACGAGAGGTATGCAGGGGGGGAGTCGACGCTGAGCTAACAGGATCCAGGGAGACCAGAGAGCATGGTGGGCAACTGGGAATTGCAGAGGTGAAGGCAATTTTCCACACTAGGGAAGGGGGAGGCAGAGAAGCCAGCCACTCACCTGGCTGCCTCTCAAGAGGTCCCGAGTGCCCGACCCAAGTTCAAAGCCACAGGAAGGAATTCATTTGAGCGTCTGTGGCGCTGTGCTGTTCCACACACGTGCAGGCACGTGGCCACGGGTGGTTCCGCGGCACCT